GTGGGACGGACGGACTGGGGAGACTATTACAGACTAAGAAAATATTTGTGGCCCTAGGTTGTACTGCATTTTGTTAAGCCATAAAAATAATGCTGTGGACAAACTGGGGCAGTTTGGTGCCTGGATTGCAAATGACACTGTGAGTCTGTTTTGAATCTTCTGAGGTATGTGAGGGCACTGAGGTTTTATACTGCACTCCTGGGGGACATCTGTGGAAATATTTCAGGGTGGGGGAGTGTTCTGATGTCACTTATCTTCGAGTAACGCAGCGACTGTCTGAGCGCGTGAGGAAGGGCACGAAGCAGCAGCAGAGGCATCCGGGCGCTACCTCACCGCTCTGGGCAGTTATCTCTGCGTTTGAAACTTTTACTAATAAACAGCTGGCGAAAGCCAATGCCCTGGAATAAAGGCGGCAAATCTTCCAGATCAAGGGAGACGTATGAGAACTAAAAACCAAATTCAGGACTGGTACCTCGATTAGATCCTAGTGTGAACTGACTGAGGGAGACTGTTTGGGGGAAATTAGGAAACAGTGGGATTACAGGACATTAGGGAATCGTTGTTAGTTTGAAGGATGAATGTAGAATTGCTGTTGGGAATGAAAATCGTCATAGTTTTGAGAAACACATGACAAAATATTTAAAGGCAAAACATCATGATGTCTGTAATAACCTTTAAAACACACACACACACACACACACACCTACACACATTTTTTATTGATTTCAGAGAGGAAGGAAGAGGGAGAGAGAGAAAAAAACATCAATGATGAGAGAGAATCGCTGATCGGCTACACGGCCCCCACTGGGGACCAAGCCCACAACCCGGGCATGTGCCCTGATCAGGAATTGAGGTGACCTCCAGGTTCATAGGTTGACACCCAACCACTGAGCCACGCCGGCTGGGCTGTAATTACCTTTTAAATATGTCAGAAACACATAACAAAATAAGAGCGTGCCGCCCTAACCGGTTTGGCTCAGTGGATAGAGCGTCCGCCTACGGACTGAAGGGTCCCAGGTTCCGGTCAGGGGCATGTACCTTGGTTGCGGGCACATCCCCAGTAGGGAGTGTGCAGGAGGCACTTGATCGGTGGTTCTCTCTCATCGATGTTTCTAACTCTCTATCCCTCTCCCTTCTTCTCTGTAAAAAAAATCAATAAAATGTATTTTAAAAAATAAGAGCGTGCCTACAAGAAACATGTGAAGTTTAGGTGATGGGCATTTTCTACTTGTTTGTGTGCTGGAATTTCTGTTGTTGATGTTAATCTGCGCCTGGATATCTTTTCCATTGATTTTTATGGAGAGTGAAAGGGAGGGGGGGGAGAGGCAGAGAGAAAGAGAAACACCAAATGTAAGAGGGACACATCGATCGGCTGTCTCCCGCTTGTGCCCCAACTGGGGCCTAAGATCGACCTGCAACCCAGGTATGTGCCTTTGACCAGGAATGGAACCCACAACCCCTCGGTGCACAGGACGTTCACCACCCACTGAGCCACACTGGCCAGGGCTGGACATTTTTTCATAATACTTGTTAAAATAATTGCTTGGGCCATGGCAGCCATTTCCACAATGTGAGAAAGGGTAGGTGAGGTGCCCACCCTGGGCATGTCCCAGAATTATAAGGTGGAATTTCTGAGATGGAAGTGGGCTTAGGTTCTACCAAACCCTTCTTTACAGCATGAGGAAGAGTCAAAGTGCAAGAGGCTTCCCCAGGGCCACAGACAAGCTCATCGCTGGCATCCACAGGCCGGGGGTGGGGGGCTGCGGAGTTGCCTATATCACACACTCACTTAGAGTGCGTGCACACATGCACTTGAAGAAGCACACAGAGAGACATGCACATACACATATGTATACACATATGCACACTGACATGTATGCACAGACATGTACAGAATGCATATACACAGAGATGTATGCACACACAGACAAGCATACACAGGGACATGCACAGGCACACATGCATACATATACACATATGCATGCACACATGGACATGTCTGCAATGCCAGCAGAGACATGTATGCACACAGACACACACAGACACACACACAGACACCCTTGCACAGACGTGCTGGCTGTACAGATTCAGAGCTGCCATCAGCCCCAGGCTCCCAGCAGGTGCTCAGCATGCGGCTGAATGGGAGGGAACTGGTTCCTCAGGCACCAACTCTGTGCTGAGCACCTCAGACCGGGGCCCCTCAGTACTGCTCTGTGAGGCCAGACAGGCGAGCCCCCATGGAAGGGGGAGGGGCTTAGAGCATGGATTCTGAAGTCAGGCTCTGGCTCCGTCTCTGCCAGGCCTGGAAAGGCCACGTCCCATCTCCAAGCCTGTTTCCCTGCCTGCTCATTGCAGGGGGGTTCCCCACAGCTCGGGGGGGAGGCAGGGGGGAACAGACATTCCCGTGCAGGGCCTGGCTCACGGGAGGCGTGTCGTCCATGCCAGCTTTTATGACAATAGGGACATTAAAACCCTAAGAGAGCTACGGTCATTCAAACAGCACAGCCTGGGCAAGGCCTTAGACAGGGACCTCCCCACCCAACAGGGCCTGGGTTTTCTTATCCGAAAAACAGGCCTGACAACAGCCCGTGTCACAGGCTGGAGAGCGAGTGCGGCTCAGGAGACTGGCCCACCACAGGGACCACAGGGGTCAGCAGCGCTGGTGATCTGTCCGCATCTGCGCTACGAAGGGCGGGCCACTGGCTTTATGCGGCTCCTGCCTGGAGCCTTCCTGGCAGGGTCCTGGCCTCAGGGCTGCCCCCCTGCAGCCAAGGGACAGGGCTGGCAGCACTGACTGCCTCTGAGAAGTCCCGACACAGACCCACAGCACCACCCGCCTGCCCAGCGGGCCAGAGGCCCTACGTCCCAGCCCGAGGGCCGGCGGTACCTGGCGGGGGGTAGCACTGCAGCAGCCGCAGAAGCTTCACCGAGAGCCAGGGCGCGGGGACGAAGTAGTAGGTGTAGTCCTGGAGGTCGGTGGAGGCCGAGGAGACGATCTGGGGACAGGAACGGGAGGTGAAGCAGGGGCACCAGGCCGGGGTGGGGCAAATGCTGCCTTCCCCAGGGGCTGACGGGGAGGATCTGGGAGAGCCCGGCTGTAGGGGCACAGGATCTGCCCATCTGATTCCCATACTGTGCGCTCCCGATTCCAACTCTGCGCCCCAAACCCTGGCTACATCCACCAGCGCACACATTGCACCCACTCGCTGGAGATGTTTCCCCACAGGCCTCGCCTGAGACTGGAAGCCGCTCAGGGGCAGGAATTGGGTCCCTGGGCCTCAGACAAGGTCAGACACAAGAAAGGCTCAGGGTAGACAAAGGTGGAGAATTAATGAAAGAGCGTGTGACTTTGTTTCCTCATGGCAAACTCCTACTCAACCCTGAAAACCCCTTCTCCAAGAAGCATTCTCACCATGCTCTGTGCCACCTCCATGATAATATCGTGCCCGACCCCCAATATCACTTTCTGTCTCCCCCACCAGGCCGGCCCACGGGACTCTGTGGATGTATGGGGAGTGAATAAAAGAATGATGGAATGGCTCCACCGGTATTATAGCTCAGTGGTTGAGTGTCAACCATGAACTAGGAGGGCACAGTTCAATTCCTGGTCAGGGCACATGCCTGGGTTGCGGGGCCCATCCCCCAGTGGGGGGCGTGCAGGAGGCAGCCGATCAGTGATTCTCTCTCATCACTGATGCTTCTATCTCCATCCCTCTCCCTTGCTCTCTAAAATCAATAAAAATTCATTAAAAAGATTAATTGAATGACTGAGCTGGTGTGCTGATCTCTTCCTGAGAAGCCAGGCCTCTTCTTCCCGCCCCAGAAAACGCTGATATTGACTCCGAGTCCCACTTCAGGGACCACCACTCCCAGATGCCTTCCCAGGTTCCCTGGGTTAAGTGCTTCCTTTGGGGGCCTACAGCGCCCTATGTTACCTCCCCAACAGCACAAGCCTCCCCTTTCCGGTCATTTGTGACTGAGCAGGCCTGCCCGCCTCACGCCCCTCCTCCAAGAGGAAAGGGGGCTTCTTGAGGCCGAGGCCTGAAGCATCCGTGTTCCCCACCAGCCCAGAGCCAGGCTCCCAGGAAGCCCCGAGGCCGGCTCCCAGGACAGGGCCTGGGGGGGAGAGGAGGAGAGGAGGGAGGATGGAGCGAAGGGGGAGGCCTGGGAAAGGAGCAGAGGAAAAGCAGAGAAAGCAGGAGGGAGAAAGACAGAGGGGCGGGCGGGAGGGAGGCAAGTACGGATGGCAGCTCTCACTTCCTGGGTGCTCTCCAGGTGCCAGACCCCGTTCTACACTTTATATCAGTGGTTCTCAACCTTCTGGCCCTTTAAATACAGTTTCTCATGTTGTGACCCAACCATAACATTATTTTCGTTGCTACTTCATCACTGTCATGTTGCTACTGTGATGAATCGTCGTGCAAATATCTGATGTGCAGGACGGTCTTAGGCGACCCCTGTGAAAGGGTCGTTCGACCGCCAAAGGGGTCGCGACCCACAGGTTGAGAACCGCTGCTTCATATGGATTAGGTCACAGCAGCCATGTTGTGAGGTGGGCACTAGGATCATCCCCATTGAACAGAAGGGACAACCGAGGCCCAGAGATGGGAAGCTGCTTGTAGCAGAGCCAGGAGGAACTCAGCTCAGAGCCTGGGTTCCTAACCACCAGGTGGGCTGCCTCCGAGGGAAAGCAAGGAGGGCCAGGGACCAGAGAGGTGCCAGGGACGGGGACGGGAGGGCCCCCACCCGCAGCCAGCAGCGAGGCCATACCCACCCTGCTCAGGCGAGACACAGCCAGGGAGATGCAGGTCTTGAAGTCATCCGGGTTCTTCTTGCAGAGACAGGTGATGAGGCTGACAGCAGCGGTGACCACGCCCTGCGGGGCAGATGAGTGGCAGGTCAAGGCCTGGTGGGTGGTCAGGCTGGGGACAAGTGTGCAGGCTGCGGATTCAGGAACGCACAGGGGTGGACTGTGGGGGGGAGGGGTGTGTGCTCAGGGGTGCATAGGTGTCACAGTGGGTGCTCTGGGGCTCAGGGACATGACCAGCACTCACTGGGGCTCGGAGCAGAGGGTGGGTGGGGACTAAGAGGACCTGGGGGTGTGGGATTGGGACCGAGGCCAGGGTCTCTGTGCTGGCTGGGCAGGCAGTGGGCCCTGGGGAACCTCTGGGTGTCAGACACACAGGCCGGGCTTCTTCTGAGGGGCTGGGTGGGTGTTGGTGTTGGGGATACTGGACAGGACCCCTGGGCAGCCAGAGGGTGTCAGGGACGGGGATGGGAGTGCCTCCGGACACCTGGGTGAGTAGTAAGTACTGGGGGGACCGGACCAGGGTCTCTAGGTGCCTTAGAAAGACAGGGACACAGGTGGGGGCCCGGGCATCCAGGGCGGGGTGGGGCCCCTGCCTCCAGGTGGACATCAAGGGCAGGGATGGGGGGAGAGAGGCACCAGGTCTCACCATGTGCTGGTCATTGAGCAGGTGCACGACGCGGGCCGTCCACTCGCCCATGGGCACCAGGTCGGGCGAGGCCTTGTAGAGCCGCAGCAGGCACAGGGCCGCACTCTGCTTCACGCTGTCCATGCTGTCCCTGTGGGGACAGGATGTGGGGTGGGGGGGTCAGCGCAACCCCAGGACTCCCGCCCCGCACACCTCCCCGCCTCCCAGGCGGACCCGGGACCCAACCTGGCGCTGCTCTCATGGCCCATGTATCAAGACCCTTGTGGGGCCACTGGCACAATGTCAAGCCTGGCTCCGCACTTATTAAGCGCCTACTGGGTACCACCACGCTGTAGGCACTGTGGACAGACTAGTGAGCAAATGGGTGCAAACGCCTGTCCTCACAGAGGCTCCGTCCTAGCCCAGCCGTTGGCATCCAAGCACACTGTGCCCAGCCGCTGTGTTGGGGGAAGGTGCCAGGTGGGCAGAAAACGAGCAACTGAATGAGGAAAGACAAAATCTCCGCCCAGAACGCCCCGCCCCCGTGTTCCAGGCGGCAGCAGGAGAATGTTCACGCGGCCTGCCATCAGATACAACCGAAGCCGCGGGAGGTGTGTCGCAGGCCCAGGCAGGACTAGCGTAGCGATGCTCTCTCACCTGCATCATCACGGCTCACAGCCCTTACTCGGCCACACTCTGCACCAAGGCTTCTACTTATCAGCGTGTTTAACCCTCGCACAGCCCTCCGAGGGGGTGAATTCTGTCATCATCTCCAGTTACAAGCCGGGAAACGTCCAAATACCAAACCAAGGAGTGAGAGCTACTTATTTTATCAACTTGGTGAAGTGAAACCGAGACTGTGATAACATTAAGGGGAAGTTTGAAACGACATAGTCCGGGGGACTGAGCCCAGGTACTAAAGGACAGAGCCACCTGATTTAGAGGACGGGGAGGGAGGAGGGGGAGAGATAATCGAGGGACGTGAGCGGGGATTCAACTGCGGCTGTTTCGTTTTAATAAACGTTTTTTAAATATGTTTTTAGTGATTTTTAGAGACAGAGGATGGGAGAGAGAGAGAAACACTGACCGGTTGCCTCCCATATGCATCCCAACTGGGGATCGAACCTACAACCTGGGCATGTGTCCTGACCAGGAATTGAACCGGCAACCTTTCAGTATGGGCCCACGCTCAACCAACTGAGCCACACCGTGCAGGGTAACTATTTCTTCTTTTTTAAAAAGGCGTGCTACCCTGTGACCCAGCAATTCCGCACCTAGGCATCTACACCAAGTCACACACATGTGAACGTGGTACAGGATCGGCAGGAGGTGGGGACTTTTTTATAAATAAATAAACAAGATGTGGTCCATCCAACAAGGAAATACTATTACTCGGCCATAAGAAGGTATGAAGCACTGATCCAGGCTACAACACGGGTGGACCTGGAGGAAACGACGCTGAGTGAAAGGAGTCAGACACAAAGGCCACGGGATTCCGTTTGTAGGAAAGGCCCAGAACAGGCGAATCTAGAGACAGAAGCAGGTCAGTGGTTGCCTGGGGCTGGAGAGGGAGGCGCGTGGAGTGGACTGCTGATGGCTGTCGGCTTCTTCCTGGGATGATGGAAATGTTCTGGAATTAAGTTAGTGGTGGTGGTTACACGATGTTGTGAAGATACTGAAGACTGTTGAATTGTACCCTTTAAAACAGTTAAAATGGTGAACTTAGCCCTGGCCAGGTAGCTCAGTTGGTTAGAGCACTGTCCCATATACCAAGGTTGTGGGTTTGATCGTGTTCAGGGCACATACAAGAATCAATCAATGAGCACTGGCTGGTTTGGCTCAGTGGATAGAGCATCAGCCTGCACACAGAAGGGTCCCGGGTTCGATTCCAGACAAGGGCACATGCCCTGGTTGTGGGTTCGATCCCCAGGAGGTGGCGTGCAGGAGGCAGCTAATCAATGATTCTCTCTCATCATTGATGTTTCTCTCTCTCTCTTCCTCTCTGAAATCAATAGATTTTCAAGAAAAAGAATCAATCAATGAATACATACATGAGAAAAACAAATCGACATTTCTCTCTCCCCCCACACTTCTTCTCTCTAAAAATCAATCAATAAATTAAAAAGTTCATTTAAAAAGAGGTGAACTTCATGTTATGTGACTTTTACTTCAATTAAAAAAAAAATCTACCTGAAGAAACGTTCCCACGTGCCCCAGTCATTGTCAAGGCTGAGTCTTCAGTACGGACAGTCCGGCCCGCACTCAGACCACCCAGCCTGGCCCACACGCTGGCAGGACCGGGCCCTCGGCAGTCACTCCCTCGTGTGCGCACACATGTCTGTCACACCGGCCCCTTCCCCAACCTCGCCGGTGCCAAGCTCTTGCATTCAGGGTGGCCAGGACCGTCTCGCAGCTCTCACCACAGCTCCCCACGCCCTCCCCCGTGGAAGCCTACTCTGTGTCTGAGCCGGGGCCCACCGTGCACCCCCTCCCCTCCGCTCAGATCCCAACACGCTGGGCCGCCCGGGCTCTGCCTCGGGTCCTTCTCCGTCCTGCCCATGTCCTCCCCGCGGGACTTATCAGGCAGGAGCTTTCATTCCCAAGAGGTTGGTCCCCGGCCACACAGGGCTTTTGGGCACAGGGACCATGGCGGGTCCCAACTGACATGTGATGTGTGTACATTACACGCCACGTTTCAAAGACCTCGCAGAGAAACACTGTAAGACAGCCTGGGAGTGTGGCTCAGCTGGTTGGGTGTCCTCCTGTGCACCGAAAGGTTGCCGGTTCGATCCCCAGTAGGGGGCGTGCGGGAGGCAGCCAATCGATGTTTCACTCTCACATCGGTTTCTCCTCTCCCTTTTCTCTCTAGAAATCAATAAAACAGAATCTTAAGAACATTCCCCCCATCTCTCTGTTTCTCTGGGCTGCGTTCCCACTCATTTCTTCAGTTCTGCCGCCTGTTTAATCCTGCTTTGGTCACTGTCTATTCTGCTGCTAAACCAGACCACTCAATTTTTTAAAAATATCGGTGATATTTCCCAGATCTGCTTGCACTTTGCTCGTGTTTAAATCATTTTCATCGTCCTTGGAGCCTATCACACACACTTATTTTACATCCTACAGGACGATTCTAATTTGACTGTTCTTTTCCGTTTTCTTTCTGCTGGTTCTCCCTCGAGGTGCTTGCTTCCTGTGTTTAGTGATTTTCGACTGTGAGCTACTCACGGAACTCCGGGCTGCTTCACCGGTGGGAACCTTTGAGGCCGTGGAGAAGGTGGGTTTCTCCAGAATAAGGCGTCTTTGCTTCTGTCAGGCACCGGGGTCTACCAGTTTGCAGCACATGACACTAAGCTTGGCTGAAGGATTTGTGGATGACCCAGGTAGGCGGAAACCAGGCTGAAAACCAGTGTGCACGCTGCTCTGGGCCAAGGTTCAAACAGGTAACTTTGCTTATATCCCCTAAGGGTGTATTTCCAAATCACGCTCATTCTGAAGTGTGGTCCCTGGAGCCTCTCCTTGGAAAAGCTTTGTCTTCTGTCCGCAGAGGCTGCAGGGCCCCCCAAACCAATACTGGGTTCTCGCAGTTCAGCGAATGCCCTCTAAGCAGGTTGTGGCTACAGCACTCGGCGCATCTCCCGGTGCCAGGCTCCTCTTCGCTCGTGGCCCGTCCTTACTTTTGGCTCATGAACACTGACGAATACTTCCTCTCCTCTCCTATTCAATACTGACAGCTGGGTTTCAAAAAGAGCGTCAGGAATCTAGTCCACATGTTGCCAGAAATAAAAGTCTTACCTTTCCCCACACTAGGCTGAATGATCTTTGGTTGATTTATTTTATTTTATTATTATTTTAATCCTCACCTAAGGATACTTTTTTCCATTGATTTTTCGAGTGGAAGGGTGGGGTGGGGAGAGAGAGACACATCGACTGGCTGCCTCCCACAGGAGTCCAAACTGCAGAGCTGGGGAACCCTGCAACCCAGGGACGTGCCCTTGACCGGAATCGAACCCAGGACCTTTCAGTCTGCAGGCTGACACTCTATCCGCTGAGCCGAACCAGCAAAGCACGGCTGTTAAAATTACAAAGTGACTCATGTCATCCACGGCCTCCCCCCATCAGTTACAATACAGTCTGAACTTCTCCCTCTCTCCTGTTCACCACACTCCTTCCAAAAACACTCTCTCTCGATTCCATGAATGCGGAAAGCTCACGCCAACTTCAGGGCCTTTGCACTTGTTGCTCCTTTTGCTTGGGACTCTTCCTCCAACACTTTTGAATGATTGTGTTTCTATAATTCAGTGTCAAATTATATCACCTCCTTAGAGAGGCCCTCCCTGAGAATCTAACGTAAGTGGCCTCCCCCACGACCTCCAGGACCCCCCACCACCCTATTGTGTTTTCTTCTGAGTGTCAGTCACGGTCTGAGCTCACCTTATGTTTTGTGTATGTGTTTGTTTCTCTGGCTCTCCCACTATGCGTATGCTCCACAAGGGCGGGCACCACAGTCTTTGCTGCTCGCCTCTGCCTCCCCCGTGCCCATAACAGTGCCCGGCACAGTGCCACAGAAATACTTGCTGAATGACCTCCTGCCTCAGGACACTCAGTGTCCTTCACGCCTTTCCCCCTTCCACAGCCAACGATTCCTCCTCACTTAGGCCTCAGCCTCATGCCACTTCCTCTGGGAAGCTCTCCCTGATTCCCTCCGGCTAAGTCAGGCTGACCCTGTACTCAATGCTCTTAGGGGTTCCTATCTCCCACAGCATGGTTTTGAGAGGAATTAAATGCTTCATCCTGCAAGTATTCAATCGATGTTTACCTCTCCACTCTGGCCTGTGAATGCTGGGAGGACACTGACCATGTCCACTCCTGGTCATGTCTACATCCCCAGCAATCAGCATGATGCCTTGCACACAGTAGATGCCCAATAGACACTTGTTGAATGAATGAATGGAGTTGTACAATTTCTCGAGGGCTGTCACCAACATCACTGAAGGTTATCACCTCTTCTACACTAGATGTCAAAGGTCAGTTCATCCGACAGGCATCGCACCGGCTGTGCTGGGAGGCTGCCCACACTGCCGTCAGCTGGCTCAGGGAGATGAGACGCGTCCCAGGGCTGCCACAGAACCCCTGGGGTTCCAAGCTCAGTGTGGGCTCCACGTCCTGGCTGGGCCTTGTCTCCCCGACTGCGCCCCCTCCACACACACACACACACACAGGTCTCCGGTGACTCACCCGGCCACCAGGATGCGAGGGATGTCAGCGGCGAAGGCCTCGCCCATCTCGCGGCTGCCCACGTTGGCGATGCAGTGCAGGGCCAGACACATGAAGGTGGGGTTGCGGCTGGCCAGGTCATTCTTGATGGCGTTGTTGATGAGCCGGATCAGCTCAGAGTTCGAGTTCACCAGCACCGAGATGAACAGGTAACCCTGGGTGGGGAGGGAGGCGGGGGCAGGGGAGCCTTGTGCTTAATTGGTCCTAGGCCCCAACTCTCATACCCTAGAGCAGTGGTTCTCAACCTTCCTAATGCCGCGACCCTTTAATACAGTTCCTCATGTGGTGGTGACCCCACCATAAAATTATTTTCGTGGCTACTTCATAACTGTAATTTTGCTACTGTTATGAATCATAATGTAAATATCTGATATGCAGGATGTATTTTCAGGGGTCGCGACCCACAGGTTGAGAACCACTGCCCTAGAGTCTATATACTTCCAGGCCCCTCCTCCCTCAGACCCAGGAGTCCAGGCCCCCAGCCCCTCCTCCCTCAGACCCAGGAGTCCAGGCCCCCAGCCCCTCCTCCCTCAGACCCAGGGGTCCAGGCCCCTCAGACCCAGGAGTCCAGGCCCCCAGCCCCTCCTCCCCAGACTCACTATCTGCTTCTCCGTGTACTTGTTGGAGCTAAGCAGGTTCACGGCTTCCATATGCCCGAAGTCAATGTCATGGCCAAGCAGGAAGATGAAGAGCAGTTTACAGACATACTTTTTCTTACTGTAGCCATCCAAAGCTTTGTCCCCTGGGGCCAGAGGAAGGAGGAAAGGGGAGACAAAATGAGGAAGGAACACACGTGCCAAGTCCCAGGAGTGCCAGCCCCCTCCTCTCTCAGACCCAGGAGTCCAGCCCCCCACCTACCTTTGAACTTGGAGCGGATATTGGCCAGTTCCTTGTTGATTCTCTTAATCTCCGCCTCCTTGCTCTTACCTGGGGAGGGAAGGCAGGGCTGGGGGTGAGGGTCCTGGAGCGGAGCCACCTGCCCCACTTTCCTTGGCAAGGGCCCTCGAAGCCGGAGGGCAAACTCTCCATGGGGCCTCGGGCCCTGAGGAGGAGGACAGGCCTGGGCCCCATCTCCAGCTGGGAGTTCAGGGAAGTGGTCACTAAGGCTCATTGGTCTCTCCAACCCAGAGCAGGCGCCCGGCGCACACTTCAGGGCCACCCCTTTTCCCCTCCTCTCACCGTGGCCCCTGACTACACTCTTCCTGAGAGCTGTCCCCACCCATGGCTCTGCTTACCCCTGCACAGCCTGGCAAAAAGCACACGATAAAGGAATGAATGAATGAATGAATGAATGGCTCGGCTGGCTTCTAGCTGTCCCCCGGGATCCTCACTCCTACACATCCCCACTCAGTGTCTCCTGAAAACCTGGTCCTCCCCCAGCTTCCCAATTCAACGAAGGTCCCACTGCGACCCAGCCAGCAGGCCAAGGCCAGACCCCTGGGTGCTGAGTGCTCCCCGCAGCCATTAGCCAGGTGACTCGCGCGCACCTGAGGCATAGCTGTTCCAAACTGAGGCGGCTGTAAGCGGCAGGGCCACACCAGATTTAGAAGACAGTGGGGGAGGGGGCAGCAAACTATCTCATAAACATTTTAAAAGACTGATTCCATGTTGAAATGACAATATTTGGGGTATATTGGGTATCCTGAATATACTGTTAAAATGAATTTTCCCTTTTTTATGTTTGTATTGATTTCAGAGAGGAAAGGCGAGGGAGAGACAGGAACATCAATCAATGATGAGAGAGGCTCACTGATCGGCTGCCTCCTGCACGCCCCACTGGGGATCAAGCCAGCAACCCGGGCATGTGCCCTGACCAGGAATTGAACTCTGACCTCCTGGTTCATAGGTCGATGCTCAACCACTGAGCCACACCGGCCAGGCTCTTTCTACCTTTTTTTTTTTAAGTGGCGACTGGGAGAAGGTGTAACCACCACAGGTGTGGCTCAGCACTGTCCCAGGGCCCCCCTGGGCTCCCACACAGCCCAGTCACCTCCTGGGGTACATGTCATGGGGTCTGGGTCCACCTGTCCCCCAGACCCGACCAGAAGCTGGTTGAAAACAGGGTCAGCATCTGCCACTTTGAGTAGCAACTCCATGTTCCAGGGGCTCCCTGAGTGCCTGAGCTCAGAAAAGGCATGAAGACGTGAATAAGGGCCAATGAGGTGCGGGGTGACCCCTCCCCGCCTGAGGAAGGAGCAGAGCCCACGGATGAGGGTGGGAGGCCTCTGGGACGCGGGAGGTACAGGGCCAGCCCTTCAATGCTGAGTCTGAATTGGCCTTTGTGGCCCCAGAGGCCATCCGATCCTTCATTTATTAATTACACGTTTCCCGCGGCCCTGGGGGCCCGGCCTACGTGGGGCTACACTGGGCACCCAGGACCCCATTGGACCCGGTACTTTGGATCCATTTCAGGGACTCCTGGCCTGGTGGGCGCAGGCAGGGGGCTTCCTCCCCACTCCCGGGTGAGATGTGCAGGGATGGAGACTGCAGGTAGCACCAGGCCCTGGCGGAGGTGAGGACATCTGAGGAAGGCTGTGAAAGATGAGGAGGGTTCAGGAGCAGTTCACCAGCCAGGCCGCCCAGAACTCTGCCCGGAGTGCCTGCTCAGGGGTGGCCGGGAGGCTAGGACAGCGCCTCCCTCTGGGGCAGGGTGGGGCAGTGACCATCAAGGGCCCACGCCAGCCCCTCAAAGTTACTTCGCATGCTGTGCTAGTCCTACCCTGAGAATGACCGCACCTGCTTCCCATGCTGCTTTAAAACTATTCTGTAGGGACCAGGAGAAACAATCTCTCATAAATGGATCACATATCACCAAGGAGCTGAGTAAACTTGACCACAGATAGACGGATATTTGAACGGCAATTAAATTTCCGAGGCTAGCGACCTCTCTGGCCTTCACTTACACCTCTATTAAAAGCTCCGAGAAGCGCGCAAGCGAACCTATGGTGTTGGATGGCCCAGCGGTGGCCATCCCTGGGAGCAGAGAGGGTGGGGGGGTGCGGGGAGCCAGGCTGGGCTGCGGGTTCCGCACCTGGGGGCCGGTCAATCAGGGAAAATTCGCCAAGCTGGTCACTTATGATCTGTGGGCTTTTTTGGTAGATCTATTTCCATACATGTACATGTGTATACAAAATATTTACATATTAAAATTACATATTGGTTGCTGGCTTGATCCCCAGTGGGGCGTGTGGGAATGTATTCAATCATACAGAAGGCAACATCAAACAGATATGGATACCTTAAAGACCATGTAAAGAATATGCCTATGTGTGTGTGTTTTCTTTAGTCTGTAAAGTATCCACAGCTCTTTGATACTGTTTTCCGCATAATATATACTTTACTAGAAAGAATTCACAGAGGAAACGGAGCATCGGGTCTCTAAAGAGCAGGGGCCGCAGCCCTGGAGGGAGAGCATCAGCCATGAGCGCAGCCTCTGCAAAGGTCAGAGGGAAGAAACAGCCCGGTGCCCAGAGACAGCGCATGAGTGCGGCTAAGGGGGTGCCCCCTGAGTAAAGGGGCTGCAGGCAGGGGTGACAGAATGGGCTAATGGAAGCAAAGACTTTCTAACATCCAGGACCAGTCAGCAACAAGGGATGAGCTCACCATCACAGGACGCATGCAAGCATTTAAAAGGGTTTCCTTGCTCTAGCTGGTTTGGCTCAGTGGATAGAGCGTCGGCCTGCGGACCGAAGGGTCCCAGGTTCGATTTCAGCCAAGGGCATGCACTTGGGTTGCGGGCACATCCCCAGTGGGGGGTGTGCAGGAGACAGCTGATCAATGTTTCTCTCTCATCGATGTTTCTAACTCTCTATCCCTCTCCCTTCCTCTCTGTAAAAAAAATCAATAAAATACATTTAAAAATAAATAAAAAGAAAAGGGTTTCCTTTATCTTCAAACATTTCCTGGGTGAGGCTCAGAGATAAGCGACAGCTGCCCTGTGCTTAGAGACCCCGGATGCAAAGGATGCTGATGGGCACTTCTGAGGACTGTGACACAGGCCAGCACAACGGGGCTGGGCGGCTGGAACAGCTCCTGGGATTTGAGGATCAAAAGATGAGGCAAGCCCTGGCCAGTGCAGCTCAGTGGTAGTGTCAGCTCATGCACTAGGGTCTCAGATTTGAATCCCGGTCAAAGGCACGTACCTGGGCTGCGGATTTGCTCCCCGCCCCCAGTCAGGGCGCTTGTGGGATGCAACCAATTGATGTGTGTCTCACATCAATGTTTCTCTCTCTCTCCTTCTCCCTCCCTTTCCCTCTCTCTAAAAATCAATGGGAAAAATACCCTGAGGTGAGGATCAACAAAAGGTGAGGCTAAAATGGACCAGGTAGAAATAGGGCAAGTGTGCTCTGGGCAGGAGGACCGGCCTGTGCCACGGCCTGGAGGCTAGCACAGAGGGCACGGCCAGACCAGCCGGCCCCTCTGGGTGC